GATTTCAAATAACACACATGGGCTTAAGTGCTGAGCTCCACACCCATGCCTACCCTTTGCGGTACCAAACCCTAAATGCATGACCACCAGGTTCTACTGTCTTGTGACTAAAGCTGCTAGAAAGTTGAATCTACAATCCAAAATCTATATAACAGCAAAAATCATCCATGCATAATTATGTGCTATACATTTCTGAATAATCATGTGCTGATTCATATTATTCATTTTAAATACCTTGCCTTCCAGACACGCTTTCATAACTGTACACATTTATTTTATGTAAAGCAACACATGGAATGGCCTTTAGATGTACATGTTCAGGTGAATGACCCGATGGCAGACATAAAGGAGAAATATTATAGACACTGTTGGTAGTTTAGAACCTCACATTTGCATCACTTCAAAATGATTTCTTATGCCTCATCTCATTACCACCCCAGCTACAAGCCCACAAAGTAAATTAATAATCACCGTAAGTCAAAGTGTGCATTTAGGAATAATTTAGGTAGTTTCCTTTAACAAATTTATCTATGTACCTACATTAAGTTCACGTACATGGTTATATACAATAGACAATATGCCCAAAATGTCTCAGAGTCTGCCCACTGCTCCACATCCTCACAGTGACCATTCTAGCTCCGACCTCTTCATCCCTTGCCTACAGTTCCTCTTCTCTCTAATCGGTCCCACACACACACTGCCCTCTGCATCCTCCATCTAAACAGAGATCTAGCAACATTTTTATCCAATTAAAATTACACCACCCCTTCCCACTCCCCACCCCATGCCTCACCAAGGGGGCCTGGTGGATAGCTAACGCAGGTCACAGCAGGTAAAACTAGTCCTCTGAAAGCACACACTCTGTCTTTAAAGTGTATGCACATTTTTTCATTCTAATCTATAATTTATATTTGTTGGATTTAACATAAATATCATGATTTGGACTGTTCCCATTTCTAGGAAAATATGCCATGGCAAGCTGGTCTTGCAGCTTCACAAAACCTCTGGCACAATGCCTCCACTGCCTCATGTCCTGGTAGATGCCCTGCAGAACCACACAACACATCTCACACTCTACCCTTCTCCTGTCTATGGTCTGAACGCCCCTCAGCTCTCCCACCAGAAGACAACCCAGTCCTTCACCCTGCAAGGTGCGTTTCTAGAATCGAATGCTTTCAAAAGTGTATGTAAGGAAAAGTGAGTAGTTTGGTCAATATGATATCCCTGTTTGAGAAATTCTCAATAAATATAGGCACACTGAATTTTCTGAAGAGTTCAGCAGCAAAATACGCAGCCAAGATCAACCAGGAGCCAGTGTTCTGTAAACACACCTTGTTGAAGGTGTGCTGTCCTCACCTTTCTCTCAGTCTTTCCTCACGCTGCTCGCCTTACCTGTTAAGCCTTTCTGGTTTTCTCCAACTGGCAAAGTCCTACTCACCTTTAGAAATCTAATTCCTAGCCACTCTTGTTGGAGGGAAATATGTCCTCCTGTGTGTATCTGCACCACTCTGGACAGACATTAGTGGTCAATTACACATGAGGTAATCTGAGATTTACATGTCAGTCTCCCTAGATACACTGTGAATTCCAGAAGTAGAAATAATTCCTTAACCAGGTATAAATTCCCAGAATCTAAGAAAGTCCACAAGAAGGGTTCAGTAAGTATGTGTGGAATAAGGTGATAAACAGGTAAATGACCTTCCATGAAAACAAGAAATGTAGAATCATATGTTATCTCCCTATTACCCCAGCCAGGAAATCTCTGCTGGCAGAAAGGGAACAAGAACAAGATCTGGGGAGAAAAACGGCCTCTAGAACAGCCCAGTCAGGGTGAGCACAGGACCCCCAGAACTGAATTTGTAAGGAGAACCTGACACGAACAGTTAAGACTTTGCCACGTGGATCCCTAATGAGTCACCGTGTCTCTGTCCAGGGTTCTGAAAGTCCTCTGGAAAGCCCTGGCTTTGCTTCAGCACCAGAGTCACGTCGGGCTGGAATACAAATGTTTGCATATTTCATTATTTCTGATATAGAGACCTCCTCTTTGCCCAGAATAGAAGGACAGTCACATTCAATCAGTTGCCCTCAGCCAGTTTAAATAAATGAAGCTGACTTTGCTCTGCAAAAGAAGTTACAGATTCTAAAGGAGGCAGCAGATGCAAAGGACTTGCAAGACAGATGTAGGTTTTCCTCACAGTGTTGCCTCTAACCAACGAGCAACCTCGGGCAAGTGACCATTCCTTCCTGGGCACTGACGTCCGGACCTTTGAGTTGCGTGGCTACATGATGAAGATCAAGCAAACCTTTGGTGAATCACCGCTGCGTGTCAAGCACTTTCTCTTATTTAACCCTCTCAAAACCCTGTGAAGTGGGTATTATTGTTCTCATTTTACACCTGAGGAAACAAGGCTTAGAAAGGTAAAGTAATTTGCTCGAGGCCACTCCATGAGCTCAAAGCATTGCCTGGTTGGGAAGTTCAACGTATTCATGGCTAGAGCCTCGACCAAGGTGAGACCCAGGCTTTCTCCCCACCCACCCCACCATGACTTCTGACTGTTGACAGCCGTCTTCACAAGGGCTTCCCTAATACTAGAATGTATTAGAGACACACTGTGCTTATACTTTTGTTATTTAAAAATTTTCTAACTTGACAAATGACAAAATGTTTCTTATTTTTTCCCTTCTTAATCATCACATCATGAAACTATTTAAGCTTATGCTTAAATTTTTCATAAAAGCCAAAAATCCCTCATGTCACCTGATTCCTCAAGGGTCTCTTAAAGAGGCAGAGGTACCAAGGAAGAAATCTGCAGCTTTGTAGTGAGTGGTCTTCTCTCCAAGAGAAACTGCCACAGTCCTGGGAGTCCTGCTCCACTTGGTTACTGCTTCTGCTCCCTGGCTGATACGCCACTGCACCTCCACACCCCATCCAGCCAGCACAAGGCAGGGGTGGGGTTGTGGGAGGGTGTTTTGTTTTGATGAAAATGATCATAGTCTTAATCATGTGTCTAACTTTGTGGTTCCTCAAAGTTGCCTCCACATTCTCTGGGTCTTCACAATGACCAATGAAATGCTAACATGTCCAGTTTCTTAACAGGAAAGTACAGACTTGGGATGTTTAAGAAACTTACCTAACAATGGATTACTATTCAGTCAAGAAAAAGAATAAAATAATGCCATTTGCAGCAACATGGATGGACCTGGAGATCATCATACAAAGTCAAGTCAGTTAGAAAGAGAAATAAAATACCATGTGGTATCACTCATATGTGGAATTTTAAAAAAAAAGATACAAATGAACTTATTTACAAAACAGAAACAGACTCACAAACAGAAAACAAACTCATGGTTACCATGGGGAAAGGGGGTGGGAAGGGATAAATTGGGAGTTTGAAATTTGCACTTCATGAGGAGTGACAGAAATGTTAGGCATCTTGATTGAGGTGGTGGTTTCATAGGTACAATTCATCAAATTGTACATCTGAAATATATGTAGTTTACTTTACAGAAATTATACCACAATAAAGTTGCTAAAAAAAATTACCTAAGACCAACCATTCAAAACAAACAAAGCCAGAACCTACCAAGGCTCCCAAATACAAATCCTGAGCTCCCTGAAGTAACAGCAAAAGTGCTCCATAAAAGCGCTTGCCCCCCCCCCACCAAATGCCACCGAGCCTGTGCCCCTCCAAAGCCCCTGCACCTCCATTCCTCTGCCCTGGCTCAGCTCAACACCAGGGCTCCTTTCCCCTAACCCCAAATTTCCATCCTTTCCCCTTTCCTGCAGTCTGAGCTCTGCAAACAGCAGTTTCTGGCCTTGTAACCCACGGGACAGCACTGTGATAACCTGTCCACTTCACCACACACACACAAGGAATATTCTGAAGCATTGGTCTATCTACAGAAAGATGCACACATTTAACACAGGCATAGTGTGAGAGAGGAAGCCATTCATCATGGAAGTTTTAACTAGGTTTGTGATGCAACGGGGCAGCAGTAGTAGAGTGGGTCCTCTCTATTGCAGGACCAGGAAATATGACCTGTCTTACATCTTTCTTGTGAATATCTCTGGGGGCTCTTAGCACTTTCTACCTGTTGTGGTTATCCTCACATCTCTTTCCTACCGCATTCTTCCTCCCCTGGAACATCATTATCCCTGTACCCTGCTCCAGAGCTGAGTCCAAAGCCTTGTTCAGGCTAGACACTGAAACTCATTTACAAGAACTTAACACACTTTTGTAAAAGACTTGTATTGTACGAAGGATATGCCAATGAAACTTAAATACCCAAAGTAGTTTCAAAGAGTGAAAGAACAAACTTGCAGAGATATCACACAGATGTGCTAACTGAAGTGAGCACAAATAAGTCTGCAAGAAGCCCACGAGGCTGGAAGCGGCTGCCTCAAGGAGCAGACAAGTGTATCCTGGCTGTGGATCCTGGCTCATCCGTGGAGCAAGACGACCTGCACCACCCTTATCAGGAAGGCAAAAGATACCCGTAACTGGAACTGAGAAGGGTGGTCTACAGGCTCACAGCTGGCCCTCTGCCTGGACAGATGAACCAGCGACAAAGCAGAGGCCAGGCTCCTCCCCAGAGAAGTTACATACCACCGGCAGCAGAAAAGTCTAGAAATGCCTAAACTGACACCAGTTTGTCGGACTGTATGCCAATACTTATACCATAAGGGGTACTAATATGTGACCATTCGGACCTGTTCTTGAGGATTCCCGGCTCGGGACAGATACTTTCTCCCTGAGTTTCTAAGCTGATGGAAAGGCGCGTCTGAAGCACCCACACACAGGTGGCCGGGGTGTGCCAGGTTCCTTCACTGGCAGGTGGGGAAACCGAGGCACGCGGCGGCGAGCATTGGGGTGAGAGCGAGGGACCGCCCGGCCCAGGACCAGCGAGAGTGTCCTGGCTAAGTCATTCCGCCCCTCCGCCCGACGCTTCCACGACCCCTTGGAGAGGAGAGGGCGACCCGGAGCCGGGCCGGGACTCACCACGTCCATGATCTGCAGGAGGCTCAGGGAGAAGTAAACGGTGAGCGGTTGCGAGTCGTTGGCCACGGGCCTCTCCAAAGGATTGTAGTTCTTCACCAGATCCTTGTAGAGCTTCCTCTGGAACTCTCCTTGCAGGGACACTTAAGGAGAAGAGAGCCCGGGGGGCTGCTCAAAGGCGGCCAGCGGGGGTGCCTCCCACGCGCCCTGCCCACGACCCCGCCGCCCAAACTGCGCAGC